GTATGTATGTATGTATGTATGTATGTATGTGTTTTTCAGAGGGTTAACAAGTGTGTTGTTCGGAAAACTAGGGTCTACTTTTGTATGCGCACTTGTTTTTTCGGAGTCGTGGTTTCCAACAACAGAACTGCCAGTATGTAGGGGATAGGAGTCAAGATGCTTCAGAAGATGCATGTTATTCTCCTTTGAGTACCCCCTGGAGATCTCCCGTTGGTCGGGCCACCCTAGATCTTGCGACCCATTCGGGATCTCACAACGGTGCACTCGTTGAGACAAACCCGACTTCGTGGGCTTTTGGGGGGCTGCCGGGGCCCAAAGAAACAAGAACTAAACTCTATTAGGGGATCCAAGGAGAGGGATGGTAGCTGGCACTTAGAAAGCTGCGGAACTTTGGGTCATGTGCATTTAAACCAGAAGAGGTGATGGAGAAGCACCTGTTCTGGATGATAAAGGTGGCAGCGGGTGGCGAGTTGTGCTTTCCCAGTGCCAGTCGGCCAAACCTTGCTCAAAAGTGAGCTTTTGACACCTGGGTAACAGTAGATGCTGCATGATGCTGCAACTCTCTTCCTCGGCGCACGCAGGCACCCGTGTCTCCACCCAAACTAGCAGGCACCACTGGGGGTATGGCTGGTATGGCCGCAGGGGGGGCACGGCGTTTTTGGAGAAAGTTTGTATGGCCGCAAAAGGAGAGCTGCGCTTGTGCAGTTATGAGACACCTCAGACCACCTATATATCTCATGTGCACTTCATTCATTTGTTGCTGTATGGGGTGATATGGGGTGCCTTCTTCCAAGTCAAATTGTTATATAACTATTCCTATTATACTGGTAGAATAAGAATTCCTACCCAACTATTCCTATTATTAGGTGATATGGGGTGCTGTTGTTGTTCTATAACTATTCCTATTCAACCTACCCAACCAGCCCATGGTCGTGGCAATTCGGCCGTCCGAACCACATAGTGATGGCATGTGATCACCATTCACCTTCTGGGGTGGTTGGGTGACATAGAAGTTGTGGCATGTGATGGCCAAAACCCTCATCAATGGTGTGATGGCTTGTAGTGTTTTCAGTTTCTTCGAGGCGAACCCCCTGCTGGCGTCCTCAATTTGGAGACCCTGCAGCTCAGCTGGGAGAGCCACGGGCGACACACGGGCCGCTCCCCACGCCGAAGCGATCGCAACCGATGGCGGGCGAAGTGTTGAACCCTGAGAGGAGCACTATTGAAGCATATTGAAGCAACAGTTGAAGTTGTTCGTAGCATGTTGAAAGTTTTCAGGCCCCTTCACCTTCCACCCCAGACTTGCAACTTCAACAGACCTGGCCCTTGGTCGGTGGCTTTGATTTTGAGAGGAGGTTTGTTTTTTGGGGGAATCGGTTTTCCAATGCTCCGGGACGAACACCGATGGGATGGGAGTTCAGTCTATTGAAGCTTGTGCAGCTGTTCATGTGGCTGTGGCTGTTGCAAAACCATTGGAGCTTCAAGGCCAGGGTTGTGAAATCTTGTGACATGTTTGTTTTGGTTTGCGCGCTGAGCTCACAGTGGCGGAATAACATGCTCACTAGCTTCTCACATTATACATGTCATATCATGTCGTGTTTTGGATTTTGCAGAACCCTGAAAATGTTTGGGGTTCGGGGTTCGCTGCAATTTGTATGCGTCTCCATCTACTCCGTTTGAGCTTGTGCCATTTGCCTTGAGCTCTAGCCCTCAAGCAGACAGCAAAAAGAAACAACAGCTGGAGAAGAATCAAACAACTGACAGTGGAACTCGTTTGGTGAACTCTTTTCCCATCATGTCAAAAAGGCTTTTGGTTGATGCATTCGCTGACCTTCTTAGGCGATTGCCGGATGAAGCCTCTAGAAGTGCGGCGTTGGGAGCTTGGAAGACCGGTCACAACATTGAGTCATTGATCTATCCATGGGGGGTCAATGTACAGATAATGTATGATAATGTATTAATTTATGCCACTTCGATTTGTGACATGCTTATATTACTTATTCTTGATTGAGGGCTCATGCTTGACCATCTCCCGAATTTACGCAGAAGCAACCGCAGAAGCCTGTATCAAGATGTGTTTTTGTCGTGGTTTTGGAGGTTGAACGAATTCTCACTCACACCGACACTTCGAGAATCTCTCATCATGTTTTCAGACATTTGAGTGAACTGCAATTGTTGCACAACTTCCCTGGAACTCAACCCATGCATCCCTTAGATGCTGCAGCACATTAATCAGCAGACACTTATTTTTTCTTTGCTGACTCTGAAGCACTCAGAATGTGAGAGTGGTGAATCCATATGGCAAAATGGACAATCTTTTGCCCATAGCAGATTACCAGCATAGCCACAGCGTGCACCCCAAAAACGCATTTTGCATCTCGCTGAATCTCGCTGCAAGCGACTTTGGTGGCTTCATGGGTGTGCAAAAAGCACCTTCCCCCGTAACATGGCTACAGCCTTCCTTCATTCAGTGTGGAAATCGGAAATCTCCATATTTCCGTGGGGGGCGCGTGCATTGAGGCAATCGGCGCGTTCCACTCAGAGCTCTCGGAGGAGGCCACATTGGAAACATTAAGGTTGGCGGTTTAACGATGAATTCGTGGAGCCTGTCCAGCAAATCGGTTGGTGAGAGGTGAAAGGTTATTTGCTGGGCCATAGCATGTAGTAGTAGTTTTATATCGCTTCTGTATTGATTTGAAAGCTGTCTTGGCTACGTATCATGGTTACGTCAACCCCAAACGTCACAGAACCCTCGTTGGCAGAAGATTCGCATCCTTCCGCCCCAGGGCGGCGGCGCGGACGGCGGCACCGGAGGCTCCGGCGATTCCGGGCAGCCAGGCCCGACGCACTCAGCGGCGAAGGTCGGCGACGTGATCGCGTCCGTGTCAAGGGCGCATAACCAGGACCTTGTCATCCTTATCAGTGTTTTTTTGTGGTGGAGTAGTGTTTGGAGATTGTTTTCCCAGAATTGGTTTAAGGGAACATCTACAGAGAACCCCTATTTTTTGATGTTTTCAGGGTGAAAGCCGTAGATGTTCCCTTCAACCAATTCTGGGAGGTTTCGACCCTTGTGAATCACAAGGAGGATTGTTGGGGGTCGTCCCACGGGACAGTGGCAGGAGCCCTAGATCGATGCGGAGACGTGAGCCGGAGGGTGCATCGCAGGTGTATTCCATAATCATTTTGCTATTGCAAGCTGTATTTCAATCCCAGAAGAAGAGTTTTGTATGTCAAAAGGGCTTGCCACGTGCCACCTGCAGGCCGGCTCTGTTTATTCCAAAGCCAAGGAGGTGCCAAGGACTGCCATGGATTTGAGGAGTTCCAGCTGGTCAAAGCAATCTTGCACCACATAGAATGCACAAACATCAAAATAAGAGCGCGATGGTATGTGTGTGTGTGCTTTGCCTAACTGGTGGGCTTTCATGACGCAGGGAATGGACACAAAGTGGGTTGTGAAAGCTGCACCCATCCAATCCTGCCAGCAGTTTTCTGCCGCGAGTCCAAGCCAACTGGTCCACTTGTACCAGTTGGTGTTTTAAGGAGCTTGGAGTCGGTTTCAGCACGTGTGGTGTGACATCGGTTTAGCCAGGACCCCATAGTGCTCCACGTAGTTGCTGAGCGGAATCTCCAGTAAATAGCACCCTTTTCCATCGCAAATCACTGAGCTGCTTAACTTTAGCCACAACATGCACCTCACAAGTGTTTAACTCTATCTATTATTATCTATTTAACTCTAGATAAATCTATATATATATAGATAATGTCACATCATCTCTTCCTTGTGTGATTTGCATGAGAAGGACCGAAATTGCGCGAGTAGCAAAGCCACTCGCTGACTTGTCACACGCTGAGACACGCCCAGAGAAAGGTGCACGGCATTGCAAGATGAGTGCCCTAGGGCTTTTGGGGAAGGGGGAACTTTAGGTCTATGAAAACCATATCAGACCCATATTTGCTTAATGACTGCTTTCATACATCATGTGTTGATGAGAACCTTCGCCCCTCCCAAAATCCATAGGACATAGGAATGTCAAGAGGACGAACATAAGTCGATAAGCATAGGACAGCGACATATATTTGCAAAGAAAGCCACCCTTTGTGACAGCAAAAGTGGAAGTGTGAAAGAACTGCTCATTTTATAGCTGGCAACATTCATGGCTTGAATTATGTTGGACGATATTCAAAGTTGTAACTGTATGTGGTAGAACTATGTAAAAATCCAACAAGGTTGTGAGCAACATATAAGAGAACACACACATACAATCAAGCAACTTGCATGTCAGTTCAATTTTTCTGGGGAGCCTTGGGGTCATTCATCATTCATTGCTTCGTGAGTTCATTGTAGAGGCAACAGGTTTCAACGATGCCTCCTGACAACCCTTGAAGCATCCACGCATCAACCACCTGATGATATGTCAAAATCATACTAATTATGTCAAGTGCTGTTTATTGTAGACATGCTAAAGTACTCGTGTTGTTGTTTTTTGTTTTTTCCGTAACTTCTGTGTGCCCGATGTTTCTCCCTTCGTCCATATCCCTTGTGGTCGGTATCAGTATCAACTTTCTCCGTAGGCTTTTGGCTCCAGCCATGGGCGCAGCTGCCAGCGCCGCATCGCGTCGTGCAGCAGAGGCCTTGGCCCAGCGCTGGGCGTTCCTCGTGGCCGAGCAAGGCGACGCGGAGGAACTGCAGGCGCTGGGGGGGGAGGAGGTGACCTGGTCTTAGGTGGATTGAGTTCGCATGAGGCCGGACTTTTGCTTCACTGATTGGTTTTTGGATGTCTTTGAGGTGTTTATAGATCGATCACTGCGAGGCCCTGGCAGATGAGCTGCACACTCAGACCAATGGCCAGGTTGTTGCTTGGCACAAGAGGGTTCAGTGGATCTGAAGAATTTGCCGATAGAAATATGAAATTTAGAACCACTGAACCGAGTGGAGCACAGACTGAACCGATAGAATATGAATTCTTCAGTGGATCTGTTTGGCAATTTAAGTCTCGTCCGAGTTGCTCTCCACGAAATGAACGCCCTAGCAGAATCCCAGACTAGGGCGCCCGTGCTTACATCCGCTTCGTTTCAGTAAGACCTGGCGTATCCCAAGATGTCACGACTCGTGGAGTTCCACCAGAATCAGGTTCCTTTGCTCCGTCGGGTGCTGAGCGGGCTTGACCTGGGCTTGTCATGGGGCACTTGGCGCTGGCTGAAGAGGTCGAAGGAGCTTTGGAGTCACAATGTTTGGAGTCCAATTGGTTTAGACAGTCCTCCGTCGGTTGAATTAGCTTGGGAAGAAGACTTGCCAAAGATGTTGATTATTAATAGCGTGGTGTGAACTTCAATCCTCCAACTGTCGGCCCAGATGCACTTAGCTTAGCAGAAGGTCCTCAATCCCAAGTCTATGGTTAGATGATGTTGGGTTGACCAGTGAAGATGATGATGGATTAGACCGAGAGAGGCCCTTCCAGCGCGGCAACGAAGCAGCTTAGATGCACCAGGCAGGTCTACTCCGAAGGAAGGCAGCTTAAGCAAAGCGCAGCCGAGTTCCACTTGTCTCAAACAGAAGCCACCATGAGTTGGGAGCTCCAGGGTTGTTGCTGCCCATTAGCCGTTTACACTGCGACATTGGTGGCCGCCCGAGCCACAGTGACCCGAAACCTGTCCATCCAGGAGGATGAGGGTCAGTCGTGGCTGCAGCCACCACTGACCTCACTGGAGTTGGATGGGCTCTTGTGCGCACTGCAGCTGGCGCGCCCCGAGCTGAGGGAGGTTTTGCTGGAGCTGGCTGATCCTCGGTGATATGGCAGCCAGGTGGTTGAGAGACTATTGAATATACAGGTCAAGGAATGGTGTATGCACAAGTCCTTGGTTTTGAAATGTTGAAAACTAACGTCCTACTGAGATTTTTGATTAAAAGGAAACATAAAGAAAGCCATCGTCCTCCCTATTCTGGGAAGTGGTCACTGGCATGCGAAGGCCGCAGAAATCCATCCAACTAGTACCACACAATTCAAACGGATCAACATGAATCAACAAAAATACAGAAACATGCTTTGCAAGATTCATCACATTCAGTAGTGAATGATTGGGTATTGGCACATTTCATAATCTGTTTCGACACACAAACAAGCCTTGTATAGTGTTATCATGGGTATTCTCCGAGCGGTATTGGTATAACCTGGTCGTTCTTTTTGCCTGGCGCACCTGCTGAGGATCCTTACCCTGGCGCCCCACGGCACTGTCCGAGCGTGCGACACCTGCCATGCCTGGCGTCCCTGTGGGTCCAGCAGACCGTCTCAGCGCTGCGCGTGCACCGCGTGGCATCGGCGGAACCACAGTGGCAAGCTGCCAAGGCGAGGTGTGGCAAGGCTTCCACTGTGGCAAGGCCAATTTGGTGGGACTTTGTGTATGAACTCTATAGGTGTTCGTTTGGCTTTGTGCGATTCTGGAGTACGGAAGACTCAGAACAACGTACTGTAACATAGACATCACACCCAGCTTCAATCCATACGACAGGAGTTGGCCTATTTTCACCGACATCAGCTTCCATTAGTCGATCCTCGGCCAGCTGCCATGTGTGGCTTGCAGCAACGACACCTGCGAGAGCTATTGCACCGCCACAAAGCTTGGCTACAGGACACGTTGGACGTGGTTTCTTAGGTTCGGCAGGCCACAGGTAGAGGGAAATCTTGCTTGGTGAAAGAGGTCGTTCGGGGAATAGACATCACCGATGTGTGGTGGAACTGATCATGCAATCAGACACCCTGTGAGAAGATGAGTTTCGGATACATACTTTTCAGGAGCCGTTGAGCCAGGCGGTTGCCAACTGGGATGCCTGGGCAAGTTGCTAGACTTGGCAGGAGGGTTGGAGCAGTATGCTATAGCCTAGAGTGATTTTCAGGATAGCTGGTACAAACCCATGGACCAGTTCACTGGAATCCATCCAAACCATTGCATGGCAATGCGGCAATGTGCCTGTCGAAGGAGTCTGTCTATGATGAGGTGCGGGAGGGCGCCGCGGTGGCAAAAACAAAGCCACTGGCAGTCCCAGGTCCAAGCACTTCTGCACTCTAGGAAAAAAAGAATTGTGATTCACCATGCATGTGTGAAAGAATGTGGCCTGCCATGTGCTACGTTCGGATTGTCAATATGTACAATATGCCGCACGAGATTTTAAACTACGATGTCCCCAGTTAGCACATCCACGGGCGTGGCCCGGCTGTCGCTGCGTATGAAGTCGAGCAAGTCCAAGGAGAGGAGTTCATTCTGCTACTGACAATCATGTGCGTTTTCGTTTTGCTTTTTCTTGCTACACACCCGGCCCTAGTTGTAGTGGACTAAAGTGATTTGTTTTATTCGTTGATACGTGTAACGCATCCATGTGTCACAATTGATATTTCAGTTATTTTACATTATTCTAGACTCACTACATCTCACTACTGCTAGGCTTGACCCTGTTTGTGTTCTAATGCATTGCTTCCGCGCCGTATGAGCTTCCAAGTGTTTGACAGATTCAACTCACGGTCATTTTGAGTGAGGTGTGCTGAACGGGAAGAAGGGGTAGTATTCCTGTACTTGGCATGTTCCTGGAAAGGGGAAGGGCCCGGATTGGCACGTGCACAGAATGGATCAATCCAAACAGTCTCGAACCAAACCATGTACTTCTTCCCCCCGGAAAAGTCCAAGCTCGACCAAGGTTCCTTCCGGCCTTCTTGTTGGCAGTTCTACAGTGAGATTGCCCGGCCCTGCAGTACCAGAGCCCGCTGCTTTGCAGAAGTCTACCCACCGCAGGAGCTCCGACCTCGACCGCTCCGTTCCCGTCTTGTCCAACACCCCCCCCGCCGCGTCTCGACTCTCAAGGAGGTGACGGCCGTGGTCAGCCATTGTTGGAAAGATGCCTTTGAAGACTTGCTTTTGGCGCTGGAGCAGCATGTGACGAAGAGCAACTTGCTTCACAGGCACACACTTCACAAGCTTTGAAGAAAGTATACGAAAGTGCTTCTTTATGATCGTTTGATGTCCGACCGTTTTGCCGGACTGTATATCTATGAATATGACAAGGCTAATATTTGCTCAAGGGAAGGCTTGCACCAGCACCGCTGCTACCATCCAAGGCATTGAAGGCAACAGCGGCTACTGGTGGCCAAGCTAACGAATAAGGGTTCGTTTGGGTGATGAGGGCCCTGGCCGACTAGCAGGATCCTGCAGGATCTATCGGAAGGCAGAGATTAAGCTGATGTGTTTGGTGAGATGTGCTCCTTGGGGCTTAAGCTGTTTTCACCCATGTTGAATCCCTTGAGTTGAACAAAGCCAAGCCATTTTGGGTGTTCTTGGCGATGAGGAATCCCGTGTACTGGGGTGAACACGTTGAGCGGGGCGAAGGATCAGAAGAATGGCGTTGTCTGTGGCCTATGGGGGGGATGGTCATCGGCCTTGGTTCCGATCCACACCCAATTTCCATCCTGCAAGACGTCCTTAGACTGTAGGTTTGTACTGAGGATCTCTAGATTTGGGGTTGGCCTATCAGAAGGCCGCACGTACTTCTCATCAGTGCACAGCACGTGCATTTGCCCTTGTCCGAGTCTCCTTCTTAGGATGGCCAATCATGCATCCAATGGCCCAAGTGAGCAGAGATTTTTTATGACATGAAAGGGTTTATACAAGATGTAACCTTCAAAAGGCTGGCGTAGGCAACCTGCTTGGGGACGTAGGCGGTCGTAGGCATTGTATGGTCTATATAATGTTTGTCGTAGGCGTTTGCCGTAGGCGACCGAATCGACCGAAATAGCATGCCTTGAAGTCACCCAGCTTGCGTTTCTGATTCAAACTAGAATTGACCGTGTTTTTTTTTTGTCTCAGTTTCTTGTAGCAGATGTCTTTCATCTCATAGTCTGAGACATGAACCAGGGCAGTTTGCAAGAGCACCTAGAATGACCACCAGAGAAAAACGCAAGACATTGCAATCCAACCACAATGCCAAGACTACCCGGGAGGTTAGAAAGGCCACTGTTTCTGTGTAAGAGGTGAGAACTCCCAACAATGTCCCAAACAACTCTTTTGTATTGTTTTCCTGGGGACATTTTCCGTAGGCTCACCGTAGGTTCTCCGTACAGGCACCGTAGGCGAAAATGCAATTGTTTATCCTTCCCCTATGTCCGCTTGCCTATAGTACTCTCAAATAGATGTTAACACCTGCTGTTCTGAGAAGTATTCCCAATGTCGAAGACATGGGGAGACTATACGCGTCAGTGCACGTCCCGCGTGGTATCGTCCCTCGCCTCCGAAGTCATGTCCAAAACTCATGATGAGCGTGAAGTCGTTGCTTGCTTGTCAGTCTTCCGTTGTGAAGCACATAGCCAATGAAACCAACTTGCCCATCGTAGAGTGCCGAGCTCATCATCTGAAAGATAAAGGGATATAAAGGGTCAGCTGCTGCGTAAACGTTTCCACTCGCAAGAACTGCATGGTACCGTAGGATACCGTAGGCAAGTTGGAACAGTAATGCTCCAAAACCTCACGTTCGTAGATTTCCCGTAGGCGATGTGGAATAAGCCATGTCTGTCGTAGGCTTTCACTGTGGAAACGTAGCCAAACCGTAGGGTTCTACGTAGGCACCCAAGGATGATAACACCACCACGTCTTTAAAAAAAATCCCTGCTCAAGTAACAAGACCTGCGCTCTTCTCCAGGTTAAGCCTTCTTGCTTTAACGCATTCCAATGAGAGCATCACTACCGCGCAGCATCGCAGCCTACTGGCAGCCTTTGATTCATGTGATGAGCTCGTAGTCGCTTCTTGGTATATTGTGAAGGGATGCTTCAAGCATCTTCAAGCTGATTTTAGAAAGATCAAACTGGACATAAGTCATAACTGCGCTTGGGCCTGGGTTTTGCACCGTTCAATGGGGGCAGGTAGCCTCGCATAGACAGCGCCACCCACTCGTTTTGTGGCTCAGGTTTGGGACACGGATGGGAGGTGGCCAACAAGGTGCGATGATGTTCTTCCAGCATGAGCTTTCATTGAGATAGGTTGAGATACTTTGGGGGCTTCCCTGTTGCCCCAAAGCACCAAAGTTAATTGCCTATAGTACTATAGTGAACCCAATATAAATTAATTGCCTATTAATACATAGTTAAAGTTAATTGCTTATTACTGTAATACATAATTGCCTATAGTGAACCCAATAGAAAGTGTACAGGACAAACTTGTTTTATAGTTCTGTGCGCACTTGCTGGCATGGAACTGGTTACCTGTCGGGAATTGAGGCAGCAGTCTATCAACCATTCGTATCACAGATTTTCCGCACTAATTAGTTTGTTCTCTTTTGAAGCCTTAATCATGCTCTATGCTTGCCAGGCTTTGGTGTTTGTATGAGCTGACGCTTGCGGATGAGCAAAAGGAGGTCCAGGTGGGCGACAGATTTCTTGGGGTCAACAGAGTTAAACCTTCAACCTCCTTTAATCCAAACATCAAGGTGGAGAATGGTGCAGAATTGTGCACATATATATATATACATACATACAAGTGTATATGCAGCGTATGTATACAATGAGTACTTATAAGTGAGTATGTATATATAAAATATATATACCACCTGCCATCTACACTTAAACCCATGGATCTTTTCGCCAAAAACGCGGCAGGTGACTTCGCTACAAGGTCTTCTGGGCTCCGACCGGACCGTGGCCGCCTCGCGGGCCGCGGCGCGGCGGCTGCTGGCCGCGCGGCCGGGAGAAGGTCGATCCGTGCCGCAGGCACGGCCGGAGGAGCTGGGGCAAGTGAAGGCCTGGCTGGGTGAGAAGGGCCAGGAGAAGATGGATGCTTGGGATGAGAAGATGGACATTCAGTTAAGAAAATTCGGGTTAGTTTATAGTTAGTTATATTATTGAATTAGTTATTGATCGGTTTTTCTTGCCGGTTAGGTAAGTAAGCAGTGGGTACGGAAGATGAGTCGAGGAGGGCTCGTTCTCCAAATTCAAAGTTGGTTTGCTTTCCTAGACAACAACTGTAACTAAACGACCTCGATGGCTCATGAAGACCAAGATACAGTGGACATCTGAAGACAGGGACCTTTTGCTTGATCTATGTGAAATGACCCAACTCGGCAAAAGCCAGAAGATGGTTGGAAGTCTGGCAGTGACATTTGTTATATTATGTGAACACCTGCACTCACAATAATTAGTCAGCTTTCTCCCACATCTTCCACTTGAACACTGGACTCAGTGTCCCCAGTCCTGTCTCACCGAGGAACGTTCTTTGTTGGCCTTAGCCGGACCCCTCTTTTGCCTTGGGGACACCGTGCCACCAGCGGTTCCCGCTGCACCGGTGGGCGCTCAGTGTCATCAACTGATCTCCGAGATTTGTGCAGCATTGCCCTCGGGGCAGTGCTTGGTGATCGAAGCACCCCCTGGGCACCGGAGGTGCCCCGGCTCAAGGGATTTGGACTGGGCCAGCGTTGAATGGGATTTGGAGTTGATGGACATGTCTTATTGCATTGTGTGCCATGTCGGTTCAATACTGCCCGCATGCGGTCCACACATACAATACTTGGGGTTGTCACGCACGCAGGAGGCATACAACACCAAAGCCAGAAGGAAGGCCCCAATTCCTGAGAGCTTGGGACAAGGCTGGCTCGTGGAGGTCAGCATCCGCCTCCTTGTTGTGGTGGTTCAAAGCAAACCTCGTTCGACGTGGCGCATGGCGTCATTGCAAGGTTCCCATCACAAAGATAACCAAAAACTGGACTCCCAGATCATCTAACCAAAACTGGACTCCGGTGTGAGGAGCCACCTGGCTCGGCTTCTGGTCACCCAGCTTTGCCGCATGCGACGGATGCTGCCAGTGCACATGAGATGTGCTGTGCTCACTGAGCTGAAGGACGAATCGAAGGATTTCATGAAGCTTTGGCCACTGAGATATGCTGAGATGCACATGGTTTGAAGAGTTTTTGGTTGGATTGCTCAGCGACCGAATTGACCAATTCTATGGTTGACTGATTCACTGGGACGAGCGGCAATCCATGATGCAGACCATTAGAGTCATTAGAGAAGAGGTTTGCATAGTTTCCGCATGTTGCATGATCTCTTCCATGGGAGCGCCTGGAACGACGCCTTAGTTCTCTCAAATCCTCGAAAGCCAGTGAAGAGTGGTTTACGCTGCGCATGTCTTGCTTCTTCAATTCAACAACATGTTCCCTTGTTACTAGTAGCGATGCGCTTGTTACTAGTAGCTTCTTGCTACTAGTGGGAATGCCCTTTGTTCCTAGTACCGATGCACCTCTTCCATCCTCTTCCTATTTCTTCCAAGAGCTTTGTTCCCATTGGCATCGCTACCTTGTTCAGCGCTTGAGGCTCGGTGCCGTCGGGTGCGGAACGTGCTCCGACTCGCTGCCGTTGGGCGCCATCGTCGTCCTCGAAGCATTGGAAGAAGTCGAAGGGTCTCAAGTGGGTGAGATCTGCACTTGGGCCACCCGATGGCTCGAAGGCGCTGCCTTTTTGTTGCTGCCAGCCTTTTTTCTATTTTGGAGCTGCGTTGTTTTTTACAGGCTCATGTTATAGCATGCATGTGGGTTGATGTCATCCAACTTCCTTCCATCTCCCTTCCCTACCAAACAAAGCGCTCATTGACACAAAAAACGTTCCAATCATTCACACAACGCACAGAACCCTCTCATATCCAACCCATTTTCTGCTGTGCCTTCGCACTGCACACAACACACCCACGCAATGGAAGACTCATAACCTTTGGGCTTGTGCGCGCATGAACCCACAAATATCCAACACTGATTGTTAAACCAAAGTCACTTGAATGGGGTAGGTGTTCGTCACTTTTTTTTCTTCGTCGCGCGCACTGGCAATTGGTGTCTTTTTTGTGGGTTTCCGCCTCAAACCAAACATTGTTTGGATCAACTGACCACTCAGATTCAGAGCATTTGGTTGTGGGCCAGTGGACGAAGGTTACAGAAGTGGCATTAACAATTCACAAGGCAACCCCAGTCCCAGTCTTCAGCATATCAAAACGATTCACAAGGGCTCACAACCCTTCAAAACCCTAAAAAGTTTGCAGTTTATCAAAGTTCAGGACATGATGGAGTTCCGTTTCAAACAGAACCACCCCACGGTCCTTTGGGTTTGTGTAGTGGGTCCAAGTCTTCACCATAGGAGGTTGTATACTCCGCAGGTAGGGCATCGTGGAATCCTGTATGGGGACTTGGTTTTTGCAAGAAACCAAAGTGGCCGTCCGAGAGGTGGAAATTCGATGATCATCACCACCAGGTGTGACAACGAGTTTCAGTGCCTCAGATGAGACGGAACGGCATGGAGACTATTTGGGAACTTTCTCCAGTTCAAGCTCAACAAATAATGAAACTCAAAAGGCAACATGGTCATGTCTCCATATTTCTTAGATATGTCTACCTGATTGTTTAAGCTCACAACTGCACACCCACCTATGGTAGCCTGCCTGGGATGGACACATTGTTGTGTCTTGTGAGGGGGACGCCTTCCAGCGGCTTCTTTAATGCGAACCCTTTTTGATCCTGTTTTCAGATGTTTGATTGGCGTTTGGATTTGCAACAAGGTTGGAAATTTCATGCCAAGGGCTGATATAAGCGGCGTAGTTGTTGCTTTCTATGCTCCACGCTCTTGCTTAGGTCAGTTATGTAATTAAACGACTGAATTGGTGGTGCACTCCATCTCACTTACAGTCTGACTTACATTCAAACATGAAAGTGTTGACATATGTTAACTTACAGGACACTACTAGGAGCAAAGGGCATCGCTAGTAGGAGCAAGGACGTGCTCTTGGAGCAAGAAGCTACTAGGGGCTCCTGGCATCGCTACTAGGAGCAAGGACGCTACCAGTAGCTTTTGTTTCCTCTACAGGGCTCGTGCGTTGATCCACTTCCACGTCTTCCGCCCTGCGGCGCCCTGCGGCGCCCTGCGGCGCCCTGCAGCCGAGGCCCTGCTCGGACGTCGTCAGCCTTGACCTCGCTCAGCTCACCCGGGACACCTGGCGGGAGGCCTCGTTGCCGCAGTGGCCCAGTGCCCTACGAGTGGTTCTCAAGGATGGCAGACTCCAGCTGAAGGCAGGCTCAGGTTCTGGAAGCGGGGAAGCAAAAAAGAGTGAATCAGGATGTGGAAGAATTCAAGAGGTTAAGTTTAGGCATGCGTAGAAAAAGCTAAGAACTTGCACATCGGTATTTCAACATGTTATCCAAGTTCAACCAAGGAAGGGTTTGCTTCATCCATGTATCGGTCACCGGTCGCCAGGCTTCGAGTGTGCTTGGGCGTCCGGTCTCTGTGGACTGGGGCCTCCCCAGCTACATCCAGCTGCTACGCTCCATGGACCTTGGACCGGAAACCACCTGCTTCGCCGTCTACGAAAGTGCCCTGGAACGGCTCAGACTCAGCGCGCAGGAGCAGGTGGAGCTGGAGGAACTTGCCTTGAAGTTGTGTTGTCAAGGGAAGTCCGTGGCTCCTTGGAGCAGACTTTGGGCAGGAAAGTTGGGGAGCGTTTCTATGGGTTTTGTTTTTTGGTTTAGTCTATTTGTGTGGGGGGGTGGGGGGGTCAGTCAGTTCTTTTCATGGCCCAGAGACGGCACATGCATTGACATTCCTTCAGGTTCTGGTTTCAGGACAAATCATGCGGTTGGATGTTTGGTGAGAGGCACGTGTGCCTCTGCTGATGGCGACCTGAAGCTAGCAGGCCCAACTAGCTGTATTAAAGAAAACACATTCATTGGAAAGATTTAAAATAAAGTCAAAAAAGTCAATCCCAAAAGTCAAAGTCAAAAAAGTCAAATCAGCAAATTTCAGAAAGTCAAAAAATGTCAATTTGCCCAGATCCGACCTTTTTTCGACATGTTTTTTTGATTTTTTTTGACTTTTTTTGACATTTTTTCGACATGTTTTTTTACTTTTTTCGACTTTTTTAAAAACTTTTTTTTTGACTTTTTCGAGCTGTGGTCTACGGTTGTCATTTTTTTGACTTGTTTTTGACTTTTCTTGACTCCAGTAATCCGCCAAGGCGTGGAACCATAGTTTTGACGTTTTTTCG